GATCAGAGGAGGTGGGGCTTTGTGCAGCAATGGTTGGGCTGTGCAACTCGTTGCCAATTGATCCTAAATGTTTACGCAGATTCAAGGGAAGCCTGGAAGAGCACTACTAGGTAGAAACCACATCTGCCTGAGGAAACCTCCTGGGCTGAAAATTAGTTGGAGGCCAAGAAAGTCCTCAGGGGATATATCAAATTGGCCTATGCCACCAACGCAGCCATGAAAGCACATGGTTGTCCACCATGCTTTCCTCCCACTGGGACATGAACAGGCTTGATTTTTAAGACAAACAGTTTATGGTTAAAAAACCCCCATGGTACTCAAGGAAATGCAAAGTGAGAGGCAACAGTCTGGCTGTTCCTGGAGGGGAACCAGCAAGGACATCAGGGTCTGGGAGGTGGGGAGGCTTATCTTGCAAAGCCCTGGTGTCATGGAATGAAGGGTTACCTGCAGGGTTAGGAAAAGGGAAAAGTTTATTCCATGGAGCAGGATTTCATTGCATCTTTCTGTTCAGTTTGTTTTTTGCTGCTGACTGCGCGATAAAACATCTCGATGTTGAAACAGAGCAGTAATTCGGGTGCCTTCAGTTCCGCGTTGTCTCTCTGGCTGCAGCTGTTGGGCAGGAGTAACCTCCCAGGCTACACCAGCCTGGCTGCTCTGGAAGGGACTGGTGCAGCCACCAAGCATGATGCATGGAGACCAGCAACATGAGCCTGCGGGTGAATGTTATCCTGCAGGCATTGCAGCAGGAGAGGAGCACGGAAACTGCTCTGAAGTGGTCATCTGTTGCAGGAAAAAGAGGTGGCCCATAGGCACGGTGGCTCCCAGGATTTGGTGGCCCCTTGTGCACGGTGGCTAACGGGCACAGTGGCCCATAGGCGCGGTGAGCTGTAAGCGTGGTGACTTTTGGGGTGCAGTGGCTCCCCAGGCACAGTGACCCTCTGGGAATGGTGGCCCATGGGCCCAGCAGCACCCTGGGCAGGGTTGCCCATGAGGATGGTGTTTCCCAGGATTTGGTGGCTCCCCGGAGACCGGTGTTTCCTAGGATTTAGCGGCTCCCTGGGGACGGTGGCCCATGGGCACGGTGTTTCCCAGGATGCGGTGGCCCCTTGGGGACGGTGACCCTCCGGGCACGGCGCTCCCTGCCCACCACGGTGGCTCCCGGGCACGGCGACCCAGGGACCGGGGACCTCGCAGGGCCGGTGCATCGCCGGGGGC